GTTCACTCTTTCCAACAACTGCTCCTCCTCCATGCCAGGGGCTGGGCTGGACATCAGGGAGAGAGTGGAGGACACAACTGCCCGAGCTGCTCACAGCCATAACCCTACCGTAATTTGAACTGTGACAGACAGGGGGTGGTGGGTGGGACCAGGGAAGCTCTCAGGGAACATCTCACTGGCCCCCAAACCTCTTTCCCTGGTGAGCCAAACCCCTTCCAGTCCTAACCAGATCTGAGCCCCAAACCCCTCAGGCCCCTCCCGCAGAAGCCAACTGTCCTGTGTCTTCTGTTGGCTTCTGGGGACCTGTTTGTCTTCCCCAGGCACACTCTGCCCTGCCCACCTGCTCTTCTTACCTCTCTGCCAATTTCTTCACCAAGTCGTGTTACCCCTCCCCCCCCCAACACCCTCATCCCAGAGTCTACAAAGTGGGCACAAACAGAGAAACGCTGCCCCAGGCCTGGCACCGGGCTCCTCTTATGCGTCTCATAGTCTCCTAAGAACATAGAAGCAGAGAATGTTCCCATTTCACAGATGGTAGGGCTGAGGCCTAGAGAAGGTCAGGCTCCGCTAGGAGGGATGAGGCTGGGGGTGGAGCTCAGTCAGCAGCACTGTACATCAGCCAGGGGTTTGAGAGATGAAATGAGAGACCGTGTAGAGGGAGACAGGGTCCCCTGCCCCAGTGGGAAAGCTGGCTGTTGCCGACTGGGTCTCTGGATAGGAGACTAAGCAGCTGGGCTATGATGCCTTCCCCTGCCTCCCACCCAGCATGGCCTCCCCGAGGCTGTGGACTGTGTTCCTGGGCAAGGTGCGGCAGAACTCACGCTGGCCAGGCGAGGTGTCCTTCAAGGTGAGCCGCCTGTTCCTACACCCGTATCACGAGGAGGACAGCCACGACTATGACGTAGCCCTGCTGCAGCTGGACCACCCTGTGGTATACTCGGCCACCGTGCGCCCCGTCTGCCTGCCTGCACGCTCTCATTTCTTCGAGTCGGGCCAGCAGTGCTGGATCACAGGCTGGGGAGCCCTGCGAGAGGGTGGTAAGCAGGGGCAGGCAGCGGGATCTGGGATATCAGGTGCGGGCTTGGAGGAGGGCCCTCCAGCTTTGGGATCAGTGGAACTGAACTTCATAAGATAAAATCTGTAAGAGGGCCTGTGGCTCCTGCTCCTGCCCTCCTTTGCTTTGGAAGGCATTGAAGAACTTAAGTAGGGGGCATAGGGGATAGGCAGGAATGTCCCAGCTTGGCTGTATGAACCTTGGGGGAAGGGTGGGGGTTGGATGGGCCTCTTCATTATTGCAGACTAGATTGAGGGGAAAATGTCAGGTAAGCCACTCAGCCTTAGGGGTGGGCACTATGGCCCCCTTTTGTTGATGAGAAAGCTGAGGCTGAGTCCCTTAGTTACTGAAAGCCACCCAGTCAAGAGATCTTGGTAGGGACTTGGATCTAGGACTGCCCTCTCTCTAGGGCCCCGAGTTTACCTGCTTCTGCTGCTAGAGAGGGTATTCTCCCCTCCTGGCCTTAACTGACAGGAGCTGCCATCTCTAGAGGCGGCCCCTCGGTTCTGCAAACTCTGGCTTGGCTGGCTTAACCGCAGACTAGACTGCCACCTTGGCACGCGGGGATTTACCACCCGGAAGTAGGGGCCGGTGTGGTGTGGTGCTGGGCATTGAACAAGGGCCTCGCGTGTGCCAAGACAGCTGCTCCACCACCCAGCCACACCCCGACCTCTGCAGGGATAGCTTAAAGATGGGCACACTGAGGCTCAGAAAGGTGACTTGGCGGGGATGGCAGAGACAAAGCAAGGGTTCCTCACTTGGCCGCTCGCTCAGCTACACACATGTGAGCACCTACTATGTGTCAAGCATGGAAGCAGACAAGGGGGAATGAAGATGAGCACACTCTTACGGTATGAGCTACCACAGACAGGAACAGGAAACGGCCTGGGAAAGCACCTGCCCGGCCTGGCCAGGAAAGCACCAGAGGACGGGTCTCCACTGAGGCTCGGGTGACCATGAGTTATTCCTGGGAACAGATGTTTATGGTGAAGGCACAGGCGTCAGGTAGAAAGGCCTGAGAATATCAGCAGCTACCAGCTAGAGGGGAGTCAGGGCAGGCGTGTCAAGGGGAGGGCCTTAGAACTGGTGGGCCTTGAAGGCCACCCCAGGACTCATGGGTGAGGAGTCCTCCCCACCTACATCTTAGAACCAAAGGGGCTTCAAAACCCCAATGTGTGGTCCAGCACCAGATTGGTGGATTACTATCCCGTAGTTCTCCGGACAAGATCTGGGCTGGGCAGCGAGGGCCACTAAGGAGTTAGGAGTACAGTGAGGGGCATCACGTGTATTCGACAGCATCCCCTTGGGGCTACCATAGAGGGGGTCCGCCTGAGCCTGGAAGCCCTTCAGAGGAAGGGGGTAGGGGATATGCTCTAACAGGCCTTTCCAGGGGTAGAGATGAGGCCTCTGTCATCACGAGCCATGCAGAGGAGTCAGCAGTAAGAGGGCGGAGCGGGAAAGACTCCTGGGAGGTGAGGATGACCCCAGGAGGAGCAGACTCCTAGCCCCTTCTCTTTGCTGCTGCCCTCCCTGCAGGTCCCAGCAGCAGCACCCTGCAGAAGGTGGACGTGCAGCTGGTCCCTCAAGACCTGTGCAATGAGGCCTACCGCTACCAGGTGACCCCGCGCATGCTCTGTGCTGGCTACCGCAAGGGCAAGAAGGACGCCTGCCAGGTAACTACCTGTGGGGGTGTGGGCTCTGTAAGGGAAGATGACTGCCCCCACTTTACAGACGAGGAGCCCTGAGGCCTTCAGAGGCGGAGGGGCTGCTGGTGGCGGATGACGCACATAGCAGACCTTGGTTGGGGTGGGAGGTCTTTGGCTCTGCTCCTTGCTATCCTGAGACCTTGGTCCTGGGAGTCATCTAGAGGAGCACTGAAGGGAAGCCCTCTCCCTAAAGCAGTCATGTCTCCCCACTCCTCTTTTAGGGTGACTCTGGAGGTCCCCTGGTTTGCAGGGAGCCCAGCGGCCGCTGGTTCCTGGCAGGGTTGGTTAGCTGGGGCCTGGGCTGTGGCCGACCCAACTTCTTCGGAGTCTACACTCGTGTTACGCGTGTGATCCACTGGATCCAGCAGGTGCTGACCTGAGCGGCTGTTCTGCAGAGCTGGAACGGCCTCCGGCCCAGGTTCAGGGCACCCACCCAGCCAGGGCACAAGTATTCTGGGGCGAGTGGCCCGAGAAGGGATGTCAGCTGGTGGTCGGTCCCCGTCTGTCTCCTGAGGTTCAGGAGTCAGCCCCAGTTCGGCTTTACCTAGCCCTTCTCACCCCAGTTCTTTCCTCTCTCTCCTCCCTCGACCACTGTTTTGGGGGTGGGGTCTGGTGGCAATTATGCTGGCTCCCAGTCTCTGCAGGGAAGTGAGATTCCTTCCCCACGCAGAAGCCACTTGGAGGGAACCGGCTAGAGAGCAGATTCCAGCCTCGGAGCCCCACTTCTGCCCCCCTGCCCCGGGTACCTTGGATGGGTGGGAAGAAGGTGCCTCTACCCAGGGGAACCCTCAGAGCCTGGGAGACTGCCAAGTGGGCCACACTGTAAGCCAAACCACAGGGCAGCGCCAGCTGCAGGTGCCTCCTGCAGTTCTGCCTGCTCCAGGGCCCTCCCTGCCATTCACTGGAGGCCCACTGTCTGTTCTGAAAATAAAGTACTTGACCAAGCCCTGCTGCTTGCTGTCTGAGTGGCCCCACACCTCGTCACCTGTCACTGAACAACAGATCGGCCGCAGAGGCCACCGTGGAGAGCCACGGGAGCTGGGACTCAAAGGCAGGTGAGGGCTTTCTGGAGGAAAGGAAAGGGCAAAGGGCATATTGTCACAGATAGCCGGGCACACAAGGAACCAGCAAGCTGGGTACAGCAAGAACAGAGCAGGGGCAGAGAGAGAGAGAGAGAGAGAGAGAGAGAGAGAGAGAGAGAGAGAGAGAGAGAGAGAGAGAGAGAGAGAGAGAGAGAGAGAGAGAGAGAGAGAAGCACTTCAGGGGGATGCAGGGAGGTGAGACCCAAGAATGAGCAGCGGATTTGACCCCGGGGGCTATGGGAGCCACGGCAGGCTGGAGAGCAGAGTCGCTTCGCGTTTTACAGCCAGCACCCACATCATGTTGGGGGAGCTGGAGGCAGGTGAAGGGAGATGAAGTCCAGGGAGGAGAAGACAGAGATGGTTGGAGCAAGCGACGGGGGATGGGGATGAGCTGGAAGATTCAGGACGCAGGGGCGCCCCCTGGAGGCAGCAGTGGTAAGTGTCCCGTGCACAGAGCTCTGGAACTGACTAGTAGGAGGAGTGAAGGGGCCAAGGCTGACCATGAAGCAGTAGGAGACACTGGATCCTGCTAGGAAGGGATGGGGCCAGGCAGTTAGCGAGGCACCTGTGGATAAGGCACGAAAGGGTCATATGGCAGATGCCCCCCCCCCGAACTCCTAGCCCTAGGGGGCTCTGCTAAAATAGGGGGTCCCTAGTCTCTATTAACCTTAAAACAGGTGGGGAAGGAGACCACATCTTCTAACAAGCCTCCCGCTGGCTCCTGAAAAGCTGGCTGGAAAAGCGAGCTCACCTTTAGCAAGTGCACGTCCTCAGGGCTGTGGTGATGTTTTCCAAGCTGGGAGCGGGCATGAGGATACCCTGGCTCCTGACCTTAGTGCATCATGGACACTCAGGTATAGGGACACTCAGAAGCTGGCGGCCCAGCTTCACAAAGATGGGAAGAATGCGTGGGGGGGGGGGCAAGAGGGTGAGTGGCCAGGTGTCGCAGCAGAAGCGGAGGGGTGGCCCGGGGCTTAGGCTACAGCAGGGCTGCTGGCAGAATAGGTAGCCTCAACTCTGACTCCTGGGTACAGGACTTAGTGACACACCCAGGACAGGGACAGTGGCAGGGGGCGCCAGGAAAAGTGGGTCTGCCTCACCTGAGTTTAAGCCCTGTCCCCAAAAGTGGCCCAGAGAAAGAGGGAGGCAGCCAGGCCGGCCTGTTCATTCAGGTTTATTTCATGGCGGGTGGGACACCACGGACAGATGTGTGCCCATCCCAGGTGGTGGAGACACGGGAGGGGCAGCTCAGCCCCTATCACACCCGACCCCTTCCTTCCCCATCACAAGTCCCCGGGGCAGCCTCGCGACTTGCCAGGGCACTCTGCCGCCAAACACATCGTGGCACAGGGGAGGGGCCGCCAAGGTGATGCCAAGTCTGTACCTCCCTTCCTGCTTGGCTAAGTCCTCACATGGTCCCCTACCCGTATCTGAAGCCATCATGTCCCACTCGGGGGCCAGGCTAGAGTCCCTCCCCCTAGAAGGTAACGGGCTGCAGACCCAGACACTTAGGGCTTCCAGGATCCCCCTTCCTCCCTGGTCCTCACAACACCCCTGTGAGGTAGGTGGGAGGAGGGGGTGCCATGGAGACAGAGGCTCAAGGAGGGTGCTATGACAGGCCGGGAGGGAGTGTATCTGCCATGCAGCAAAGGGACCCAGGCGAGGGGACAAAAGGGCCTGGGAGACAGGAGTGGGCAGTGCCACACTTTGGCCATGGGCAGGTGACTCTGCCTGGAGAGCCCAGGACCCACCTCAGGCCTTCCAAGGTCCCCGAGGGCCCCAGGCCTGGGCCTGGAGGCAGGATTGAGTCCCCGCCCGGCAGAGGCAGGCAGCAGTGACAAGGGACAGGGCAAGTCTTCCTCCTCGGGCCGGGGGCCCACCCCGTGGTACAAAAATAAAGGATTTCAGATCGGAACCCCAAGTCCCTGGAGGTGATCTGGGGGCTCACATCCGGGTGCCTCTGGCTTGTAATAGCTAGAAAATAAGAGAGGGGAGGGACAGAGGAAGAGGAGAGGGGGGTCAGAAAACCAGGGTGGAGGGTGAGGACAGGGGGATGCCGGGACAGGAAAGTTGGGGAGAGTAAGGGGAGGAAGGGAGAGAGGGAGAGAGGGAGAGAGAAAGGCAAGTGAGTCCCAGGCTGGCTCTGGAGGAGGGGTGGGGCTGAGGCCCAAAGGAGGTGGAGTCAGGACCGAGGAGGGGAGAAACTGCCAGTCCTGGGCTGGTGGTGGCGGCGGCAGCCCGGTGGGGGAGGGGGCGGGATAGGAGGGGCCGATCACTGCTTTCCCAGGCAAAAAGGGGCCACCGGAAGCAGCTGTTCGCCCCATCTTAGAATCCAACCGTGGCCCAGAGAGAGGCAGTGACCTGCCCACGGTCACTCAGGGAGATCGGGCTGACTGGGGGCTACTGTCACCCAGGCAGAGATCAGGCCTTTTCCTGCCACGCTCCAATCCTTGGCAGGCTCTTGCCAACTCATCAGCCAGGGGACATCACATGTGGCCTGGCCACCCACTCCACAGAACTAGGGGGGACACAGTACCCACATGCAGTGCTGCACGAGCTTCTAGACATGCGTGGTGGGGCAGAGGCACACGGCTAGTCCTCCCCTCCCCCCACGCCTGGCTCCCATGCCGACTGACTACAGGCAGGCAGGCAGGTACAAGAGTCTCCACCTCTGGGCTTTGTCAGTTCTCGGGGCCTCACCCCAAGGCCCAGATAAGTTGAGAGAGTTAGGTGGGTGGAGAGAATCAGCCAAAAGCTCGGCTCAAGTCCAAAGACAAGATTAGGAGCACCCTCCTCGCTTCCGCCCCTCCCTCCAGCTCTGCCAGGCTACAAACCAGGGGCGGCAGCTCTGGGGGCGGGCGCGGGGCCGAGGAGCTCTCACAGCAAGCTCAGGCTTGGGTCTGGGAGGGTGCGGACAGGGACCTGCAAGGAGGAAACATGAGGAGGGCAAGCGGGAAGAGGGGGGCCTGTGGCCAAGGCCCACCTCAGAGGGGTCCTGCTGGGTTGGAGGACAGAGAGCAGATGCGGCCACGCCCCTCCTCCCCAGGCCAGGAGGCAGAAGGGGCCGGAAGGGGCGCAGGAGGCGGCAGGCAGGAGGATGCTTGGGGATGCAGGGCCAGGGGGCCCGGGGAGAGGGCACGGGAGACCGGGACTAGGGCAGCCCCAGGGTGGAGACGGGAGCAGGCGGAGAGGAAACCTGGGCAGGGGCAGAGAGGGAAGAGGCAGGGTGCAGATGAGATCCAGGAGGAAGAGGAGGTAGATGAAGATGAAGCAGGACCTCCAGCAGGAAGCGGAGGAGGAGGAGGCGGTGGTGGGAGGGAGAAAAGGTTAGCGGGATCCTGAGATGACAGGGCTGCAAGAGAAAGTGAGAGAGGGATGGTTATGGGCGAGGCGCCAGGCGCTGAGCTAACCCTGGTGGCCCGCCCCCACGGTTCCCGGCGGCAGCTGCTCCAGCAGGGAGAGGGCGGGAGGCCCGGGCTGTCATTAGCAATCGTCCTCTTGGGGGCGGGCTGCACCTTTCTCCTGGGCATCCGCCTCCACCTGCACCTGGGCCACCTCCACCTCCTCCACCTCCTGCCGCCGCCGCTCCTCCAGCTGCTCGTCCGTGCTCTGCGCACCCGCCGCCGACCAGGGAAGAGAGAGTGGAGACACTGACGAGGGGGCGGGGCTGCGGGCTGCTGTCCGCAGGGACCCCCGACCTCGGGACAGAGGGGCAGGCGGGAGGAAAGGGGCCTCTGAGGGAGGGAGGGCTGCAGCCAAAGCAGCTGGTGCGTCTTCTCTAGCCCAAGAGGGATGCTCCAAGACCAGCCAGGCTGCTGTTACAGAGCCCGGCTATGCAGGGAGGGCTGGAGGAGCCAGTGGGCTCCTGGGAAGAAGGCCTTACTTTGGCAAGATGGATCCAGAGCAGGAAAGCCAGGGTTGCCCCAGGGCCGTCACCAGCCAGATCTAGATGCCAGCAACAAGTGACTGGCGGCCTGGGCCAGGTTGGTGACCCAGGGAGGCAGAGCAGCAGGGCACCCTGAACTCTTGCAGGGAGCAGCCAGCCACTGGCATGGCCGGACAGTGGCAAGGGGATCACAGCAGGGCTGAGTGGGGACACACAGGAAGCCAGAGTTCCTAAGACTCCTGCACATGGGCACAGCTTCCACCTTCCCAAGCTGGATCGGGCCTATTGTGTGGGCCCCACTGCAGGCCCAAGGGTACTGGACCTTACTCAGTTCTTCCCCACAGGCTGGCTGCCAACTGAGCCCTTGGGAGCTTGCTGCCAATGCCAGAGCCCATAGGGCTCCTGACACCATTCCGGGAGGCTCTCCAAAAGTCCCGGGGAAGGGTAGGACTATGGGATTTCCCCATCCTGACCTAGGCTGACGTTAGGCAGTCACTAGTCCCTGGGAAATAAACCAGCAGATGAGAACCCAGGAGTTCCAGCCTGGAATCTCCAGAGCGCTCACCTCTCCTTTCAGAGAGAATACAGCAAAGACGTGAGAAGAGAGACTTGCCCAAGGTCATACAGGGCAGCATGCCACACCTGGGCCACTAGTTCAGCGTGCCATGCCTCGTGCTTCAACACCTGTCCATGTGGCCTCAGGAATAAGAGGCATCAAGCCCACCCTGTCTGTGCCCTTGCCATGGTCCTGCCTAACTGCTCCCCAGCCTGGGCCAAAGGTGTGAGCTGACTGGACTGTAGTGGCATGGGATGGATGGCGTTGGCTGTGACCATGACCATGAGCGTTATGTGGGTGCAGCAGGAGAGAGGACGTAGCAGCAGAATGGGGGAGAGGTGCTGTCTTCACACAGGGCAGGGACTCACCTTGGTCTTACGGCTAGACTCTGAGCTTAGGCCGTGTGGGGAGCTGTGGAGTTCCTTAGACACCACACACAGGAACTCGGCTTGGTCCTCACTGCCATAGTTGTAAGAGGAGCCGATGTTCACGAGCTGGGGGAAGGGTAGGACTCATCACCCTCTCTGCCAGTGGAGGGCAAGAGAGACAGTAGTCTACTGGAGGACCCGCAGGCCAGGGACCAAGCCCAGGAGCCCTCCACATCCTCCCCAGGGTCCTACAGATTTGCTCACACCATTTCTAGGTTTTCCGAGACAGGGCCTCGAACTCACTATGCAGTTGAGGGGGACCCTGACTTCCTGCCTCTACCTCCAGTGTAGATGCGGCTCTCCTAATAGTGGGTATGACACTAGTGCCGATGTGTGGGGTCCTACCCCAAACTAGAACCTTTCCTGATGGCTCTTCTCAGTTTCACAAAGGCCTTGTGAAGGAGGTGCCGCGACCTCACATCCCAGAATGCAGAGGCTGGGAGAGGAGCTGGCTTGCTCCAGTAGGAGAGTGACAGAGGGCAGGGCTGGAAGAGAGGGTGCCCTCTTGTCCTAGCTGGCTGCTTGGTCTTCCTCACAATGACTATCCTGGAACCCCAGCCTTCTCCTCCAGCTTCCTGTGGGAAGAAGCTGGTGGGGTACATGCATAGGGAAGTAGCTCAGCTCTTCTCTTGTTCTCAGGGCAGATTGGACCTTGGGTTCATTTTGGGGGGGCTCTACGCCTCTACAAACCCAAGAGGCAGAGCGTAACCCTGCGTAGCCCTGCGGCTGATAACAGGAGTCTCCCGTGGTGAACCGCATATGGCCTGGAGACAGAGCTGGTCACACTTGTACCTTGCGAAGCCATCACCTGGGGCTTCCAGGAAAGGGGGATGCTTATCACCTCACCGTGCATGTCTGTCATGAGACCCTGGAGGTCAGGCCCAGGGTGTGGCAAGGATTCCACTCAACTCTGTGCTTCTGGTCTCCTATACCTGAGCTGTCCCTGAGGACCAGGGACTGGCTGCTGTGCAGAGCCCCAGAGACTAGGATGCCCAGGGGCAGGTGTTCCCCGCCCGCGTCTCAGTCCACCTCTGCCCGGCAGGCCCTGTTCTAGTCTTGCTTAGTTCCATTCCAGAAGACGCTGAGCTTGGGGCTCGGGGGAGGGACTGGAGGCTGAGGCTGCAGAAAGGACAAGCTTAGGGTGTCCCTTGTACCCAGCCCACCTGCTCGAAGCGCCAGCCATCAGACATGGTGGAGACCATCTGTGTGAGCTCTTCCTCCTGACACTGCAGTACACGGTACACATGCTTGGGTGGCACCTGTGGGTAGAAGGGTCACATGGAGAACACCTCGAAGGGCACCAGACACCCAGCTGCAGGGAGGAGGGAGCCATGCTCTGCATACCTACTACGTGCCGGATGCTTCCTTCCGAGACCCTCGTGCATTACAGAATTTTTTTTTTTTTTTTTTTTGGTTTTTCGAGACAGGGTTTCTCTGTGTAGCTTTGCGCCTTTCCTGGAACTCACTTGGTAGCCCAGGCTGGCCTCGAACTCACAGAGATCCGCCTGGCTCTGCCTCCCGAGTGCTGGGATTAAAGGCGTGCGGCAGAATTTTTTATACTGAGGCTCTCAGAGAGGTTCAGTCGCTTGCCCAGGGTCACCAGGTGAGTCAGGGCCTCACCTCTTTAGCTCCTGTGGCTGGGAGGTGATGTCTCACCCTGTCCCCTAGAAGCCTGGGGTTCGAGCTCTGAAATGCCAGCCCCAACAGCTCTTGTGTACCTACTAGGGGACTGCCTGACTCCATGAAGTAGACATTTACTCATCCTGCATGGCGCTGGGTGGGGGCGGGTGGGTGATTGTACTGCTGTTGGCATCCTCGGTGAGCAAGGGTAGCTAGGCAACTTGGAGCATCTCTACTTTCCATGGAGGAAAACAAAGAAGGGCATGATAACCCTTGGTCACACACAGCAGGAGCTCAGTCAGGGGCAGAACCCTAGCAGTATATATCCAGGCTGGGACTGTGCTGAGCAGCCTGGGAGGCCTCCCCCTCTCCCCTTACCTTCCCCCCACCCCTTCCCTCCACTGGTCCTGCTTCCTCTCTCCAAACCTGGGTCACTGTGTAGTCTTTCTCCTCCATCCTGTCTTTGATGATTCGGATCAGGGGGCCAATGTTGTAGAACTCGGCTTCCTCCAGGACCCCTGGGACACAGAGCAGCCTGGTCACCTCTACTGTCTCCATGCCCCACTCTCCCCCAGACCCACTTCCTGCTCTGGTCACATTCCTAGACAGGGTCTGTGAGTTCAGGGGCCAAGGAAGAGGGAGCATTTCAGGTCTAGGGATCTGCTCAGTTGGTAGAGTGACAGACTAGCATGGCCAAAGCCCTGGGTTTGATCCCCAGCACTGCACAAACCATGAGTGGCGATAAACACTTGTAATCCTGGCACTTGGGAGGTAGAGGCAGGAGGATCAGAAGTTCAAGGACATCCTTGGCTACATAACAAGTTTGAGCCAGCCTAGGCTAGATGAGACCTGGTCCAATCCAAACAAAAGGGAACATTTTTTTCCCTTGGTCCCCACATGAGAGGCTGAGATGCCACTCTTCAGCCAGCCCTGTCTTCCTGTGCCATGATGAGCATGTGACTCAGGACTACCTGGTGAACCTGGGGCTGTTTTGGGCATCAAGAGAGAAGGCTCATTGGGACTGTGCCCTAGAATACTACAGAGAGGGCCTAGGCCACCCACTGTGTGACCTCATTCATCAAACTCATGCTAAGTACCAGGCCTGTGCTGGGAACATCACATTCCTCATGGCACTTGTCAGAACTAGAAGTGAGTACTTTCATTATGTCCACTGAACAACCCGGGGAAACGGAGGCTGAGAGAGAAACAGCTTGTCCAAGGTCACGTGGCCTGTAAGCCGCAGAGCCAAGGCAAGCTCCATCTTCAGAGCCCTGGACCCCTCACTAGAAGTCAATAAGCTTTTGGGCACCCCCAGCTACCACTCATAACTGTTGGTAAAGCTCTTAGGGGTCCATCAATGGTCCCAGGGCACAAGGGAAGCAGATGTCACCGTCTGTGTGTTATAGACGGATCTGAGAGATGAAGTCAGTCATCCCTCCTCCAATCGGTAAAGTGCAAAGAACTCTGAGGAGTCTGGACTACAGGAAGTCCCTGCAGGGCAGGGGGATGCTGGGCTCTCTGGGGACAGGGACCACCACAGACTGTTATATCCTCTCAAAACTGAACCTTTGAAACCTAACCGCCACGTGATAGAGGGACTCTGGCCAGCAGAAGGGGAAGAGCCACGAGATGGAAACCCAAGGAAGTGAGAACTCTGAAAGAAGAGCCGGACAGCCAATGAATCCCCCTGCCTGCGTGCAGCACACAGGTGAGCAGTTGGCAGCCAGGAGAAGGGTCAGGCCAGAAGCCTCGAGGCTAACACACTGACCCTGAATCCCAGCCTGCAGAGTAGAAGGGGTCAGTGGCTGTTGTTGTAGTCCCTGGCCTCTGGTACTTCCTTACAGCAGCTGGAACTGGGTCAGGGGTCACTGTGATCTCTATTGGTGCTCAACTAATACGTGCCGGAAGGGAGAGTCAGCAAGGACCACGGCCTGAGTGACAGAAACTCTCCAACCCTGAGCTGTGTACCCCAGGCTAGGCAGCTTCGTGCTTCCCACTGCTCAGTGTGGTGGTGACTGTCACTACCCTTCATAGACCAGGAGAGGTTAGCTAACATTTCCACGGCCACACAGTAAGCTTCCTCCTGAAATCCATCTCTCCAGATATTTCCCTACCCCGCCTGAAGATGTGAGAACACCAGAGCTCTGAAGAGCTAGAACCTGTAAACAGGTGTTGGCTGTGATGCAGCTGGAGTGTGAGCCTCCCAGAGGGACCTGCTCCTGAGCCCAGGCCCCACCCACGTGATCTGTTCCCCTTGGACTGCTAGGCAGCTAGCTGTAGGCCGGGTAGAGTGAGCTACCTACAGTGAGCTCTGAGTGTGATCATCTCCCTGTCCTTTGGGGAATCTTCAGATCACTGTACCCCATTGGGGTCAGTCAGAGATGATCACTGCCTAGAGTAAGGGCTGTGTGAAACACCCACAGAGTCACAGGACTCATCTGCAGTCCCAACATACACTCTTCCGAATGTGGGTCATGATGCCCATTTTGTAGGCACTAGCGGAGACCCAGAGAAGACTGACATGTCCAAGCTGGCCTGGCCCGACCCAGAGCTACACTCAAGTGTACAGAGGAGAACTGGTTTGAAGATGGCTGTAGTCCCTGTCCCTGGCCTATTCTCCTGTTTCCATGTCAGCTAGGCCCGGAGGTGAGCCTCCACAGGCCTGGGAAGGGCAGAAGTCCTACCAGGAACAGCACCCCAACTCCCCTGACAAGCCACTGGGCTGCAGAAGCAGCCAGCTTCGGGAACTCCGTCCACTGGCTGATGGCAAGCACCTGCTTGGGAGACACAGAATAAGGCAAAGGCAGCCCCAGCTCTTCTCCCAGCCAGCCTGGAGCATCACAGGCCACACCAGGTCTTCCTGAAGGCTTGGGAGGGAAAGGTCATTCCCAAAGGCGGCAGAAGCCTCAGGGCTTTCCTGCCTCCCTTGATCCTCTTCCTGTTTCCACAATCACTTCCCCAACAGCACTCAGTGACAGCTTGGGTCTGTCAGCCTGGCAGAGACCTGGAGAATGGGACCCCACTCCAGGACAGGCAGAAAATAATGGGGGAAAGTAGACGCCACCCTGGCTGTAAGAATGGTTTTAGGACTCCCCCGAAGGCTCTGGTTGGCTCCAGAGAGCCCCAGACCAGCCCAATGAACCAACTCACCCTCCTCAGCCATATCCTTGTCCAGCACCAGCTTGCCATGCCTGAGGAAGTTCAATATGGGCCCGAAGTAGGTGGGGTCACGGTCAATGAGGTAGGCCCCGGTCTCATCCTGTAGAAATGACCACAGGAAGTGAGAGGTGTGCAAGCTTCCCCCAAGCCCAGCCCCACACATAAGCTCAACTCACCACAGGCTGGAAAAGGACTGCAGGAGAGAGGAAGGGGGGTGAAATGAACAACCAGGCACTGGGTTCCAGCCCTGCCTCTGCCTTTTCCAGACTGTGTGACCTTGAGCCAATCATCTGGCCTCATCTGAAGCATCTCTTCTCTCCCCCACAATCAGAGGATTAAATGTGAGCATGAAGTGTGACCGGACTTCTGAGTGGCCCCTAGCTCAGCACAGGACTCAGTGAAATCTCCCTTTTGGTAAAGTTTCCCTCCTGGAGGCTGTACCCCTGAGCCAACCCCACTATCCACCAGATGTCTGCAAGTTTCCAAAGGAGCTGCCCTCTGATTGGACACTTGCAGCCTGCAGGGAGGCAGGACTGGCATCAGTACGACCCCATTAAGAAGCAGGGGACTCACCCAAGGACACAGTGTGAGAGGGCCACAGAATGGGGGCCAGGGAACTTTGACAAGCCAACTCCAGAGGCCAAAGTCAGAGCAGAGAAGTCCGTCCCACTCCCCACTCCTCCCAGGTCATTCGGGGGAGTTGGCGGGAGAGCAGGATGAGCCCACAAGTGGTATCCACTAGGCCAGGGCTCTTCTCCACATTAAGCTCAGCTCCAAGACACCCAAGCCTCCTCCACCCGGTTCCCTGCACCCCTCAGCTGCCCACACCCCAAGGGCGGGGAGAAGCAGCCGCATCAACTCCTAACGCTGCAGTCAGCCAGGGCAGTACGGCAGGCCGGGCTTGTCGGTCCCTCAGTACCGCCCAACAGCAAGGGAGCGTCCCGGATCCAGGGCAGCGCTCCAAGGCTCCAAATGGCCGCGGCCCGTGCTGTCCCGTTGTCACGGCAATGGGCGCTGAGATCCCTCTCTGCTCCGTTTCCTCCCCCTCCTCCTGCCCGGGCTTCCCGCCTCTGGATCCTACAAAAGCTACGCCGCCCAGGCTGGAGGCCGAGGGACGCGCAGGCCGGACAGCCCCAGAGCGCGGAACCCGGACGCCGCCGTCAGAGGGCTCACCCGATCCGACTGCAGCTCTTCGCCTTGGCACAGGCGGCTGAGGAAGGACTTCTGCTCCCGGCACAGCGTCTGGCGGGTGGTCAGGAACACCGTGCCCCCTACGTTCAGCCGCACCCACTTGCCCCAGCCGCCCCCGGCTCGGCCGCCCGCCCCCACCGGTGGCGCTGCCTCCCCGGCCTCCATCCTCATCGCCAGCCTCGGTGTCTGCATCCTCCCCTCCGCGGGCTGCGGGCGGGTACCAGGCGCGGGGTATGCCGGGAGCTGTAGTCTGGAGCCAGGGCTGGGATGCGCGGCGCCTGTCCTGGTGCATCTCGGACCGCAGGTCCCGCCCCACATTACCTTTACTGGCGGTCAGACACCTGGTCTCTCGCTTTGGCTAGGCCAGACTGCTTGTTTTGCAGAAGGCCAGGGCTGTGGGAAAACAGTGATCCCCAGTCGGCTAATCCCCCCCCCATTTGTTCTTTGTGCGGGGGCCCCAGCTGAGGAATGCCTGACCTGAGAAGAACTTTCTGCCTCCAGAGATTCCTATATTTACCTATACCTACTTTTTAATAGGTGCAGGTGCATGTGCGTGCGCATGTGCATATGTGTGTTGCTGGGGATGGAACCCAGGGTCTCTCGTATGCTAAACCACACCAGCAGTATTTCTTTTTGTCCCGTGTGTGGTGAGGACCACAGGGATGACAGTGAGTCACCTCTACCTCCTCCTAAATTCTTTGAGGACATGCAGTTGGATTTAGGGCTGGCTGAACATTATTTCTGTGTGCCAGAAAGCTGTGTGAACATAGATATTACTCATCTAAGCTTCCAGCAGCTCTGCCAGATCGGTACCACCAAAACCGTGGCACAGATGGGACCACAGAAGTATAGAGACAGTGGTACATTTCCTACTGGTCTGTTTCCTCTGCCCTTCCCAGGGCTGTCAAGGATCAGGCCAGGGCTCCCACATTGAAGCCCAGACCTCCACCCAGCTTCCTGCACCTCTCAGCTACCCACACCCCAAGGGCAAGCAGAAGCAGATACATCAACCCCTTTCCCAGCTGGAGTCAACCTGGACAGCAGGGTTTAGGGGAATGAAGGGGATATGAAGGCAGCCCCGGTTTGTAGGGTTTGTGGGGGCTGATCACAAAGGTCACTGGTCTGCAGGGATGGAGAGAGGGGAGAGGTGGATCAGGTGGGATCAAGAACAGAGCTAAGTCTGGAGGGACAAGAGCCAATCTTAGGCTGGTCTGAAGGAAACAGAGTCTGCTTAAGGAGTGAATATCCGGAAGATGAAGTTCAGGTACCGGCTTCCCGATGCCACCTGCTTCCATAAATATGATAGAACTGAAGCTTGGAGGTAAGGCAGCTGGTAGCCTGCACAGGTCTACTTGCAAGATGTGGGGAGGGAAGTTGTGGAATACCCCTTCCCCAGCTGCCTGGCCCAGTCCTTGAGGAGTGTGAGCTATGCAACTGAGGAGCCACCAGGCTCTCAGCAAAGGAGGAATGACCTTGGGGTGGTTTTGGGGGATGGTCACCTTGGCATTGGTGTTCCAGAGGATTATTGGGATGGGAAAATGGATGGGCAGGGGGAAATGGGGGGAAGCTGTTTTAGGGATGTGGTTCCTGCTGGTCTCTTCCCCCCGTTGCTCAGCGAGCTCCTGAGGACGGTTGTCCCTTTCAGGACATCACAGCAGGTACCAGAAGTACCAAACACTGGACCGGACTCAGGGAATGGTCTACTTTCACTTTCTGTTGCCGTGATATAACATCCGGCCAAAAGCCGACTCAAGGGGAAAATGGTTTATTGGGCTCACAATTCCAGGTCACAGCCCTTTGTTGTAGGCAAGTCAAGCAGGCAGGACTTGACGCAGCTAGTCACATCCACAGTCAAGGGCAGAGAGAGAACGGATGCATGTATGCTCAGCTCACTTTCAATACTCTTAGACAGTCCAGAACCCAAACTGGGGGAGTGGTGCCGCCCAGAGAGGGCTGGGTCTTCCCACATCACTTAATATAATCAAGTGTGGCGATACTTTGTGCTCTAACAAAGCAAACTTGCCTGGAAATCAGAGTACGGAGCTAGCTAGCCGCTAGAGGCCAGGCAGTGGTGGCACACACCTTTAATCCCAGCACTTGGGAGGAGGAAACAGGAAGTGGTATGGCTGGGTGGAGAGAGGAAGTGATAAGGTGGGGTGGAGACAGGAGCTCGGCCCCTTTTGTCTGAGGATTTGGTAGAGGTAAGAAGTCTCTCTTACTGATCTTTCAGGATTTACCCCAATATCTGGCTCTGGGTTTTTATTATTAAGACCAATTAGAATTCACACTATAATCAAGACAGTCTCCTACAGACATTCCCATAGGCTAACCTGATTTAGGCAATTTTTCATTAACTCTCTTAACAAGTGATTCTAGACTGCGTCAAGTTGACAGCTGAAACTCACCCATCGCTGGGGAGGTGAGCGGAGCAAACCTTGTAAGGATGGGAATCAGCTCTTCCTCCTCCAGCCAGGGTCCTGTTATAAGTGCCTGACCACAGACACCAAAAGCTTTCAGCAAGGACAAGTTCATCATTCACTGTGTTCCCAAGACCATGCTCCGGGCGTTCTGTTACGACAGTGGTGTAGACCACAGCCACCAGAGCAGCAGGTAGTGTTCACTGAGGGCTTTTCCTGGTTCAGGTGGTACCCCACTCACGGGCTGTCATCATTCTGGGACATCTAAGACACGGATCTTACTTCTCCTTGCCTATCTTACAGTAGGTAAAATGAGGCTCAGAGGCTGTGGGCTCCTCCCAGTCAGTGTTGGAAGAGGCTGTGGAGTGCAGAGCCAGCCTTAAAGCTTTGTCTCAATGACCCAGAAGCCATCCCACTCTCCTGCCCCCATGGATCCTATGGCAACCCCGCAGTGGCAGTCTAAAGGCCACACCACAGGTGAAGAGACCAGAGTCCATACAGCCGGTCCAAGCAGGCCAACCGGAGCCCAGCACAGGTCTGGGCATTGTCCCATTTTGTCTCCAATTCTGGAGGTGTCCGGTGGAGGCTGGGCCCAGTACCTTGAGGCCCAATAAAGAAGAAGGCTGACCTCCAATTTTCCCTCTTTCAGAGTCCCTATCTCTTTGGACACAGAACCTCCTCAAACAGACACCTAAACTTCTCCCCCTGTGTCAATGTTTCATTACTGTGACACAATAATCGGAGTAAAATAACTTAAAAGAAGAAAGAGTTACTGTTTTGTTCATAGTTTCCACGGTTTACTGACTTTTTAGGGTCATTGGGGGTGCAGTACTAGGGACTGAATGTAGGGTCTGCCCACCTCATGGCAGTAAAGAAGAAAGAGGTAAGGGAGAGAGAGAGAGAGAGAGAGAGAGAGAGAGAGAGAGAGAGAGAGAGAGAGAGAGAGAGAGAGAGAGAGAGAGAGAGAGAGAGAGAGAGAGAGAGAGAGAGAGAGAGAGAGAGAGAGCGCACTATAGAAACCAGGGATAAGATCTACTATTCCGAGGCATGCCCCACAGTGACCCACTTCCTCCAAGTAGGTCCTACCTCTGGAACCCAAGCCCATTCAGCTCGGAACTCATCATCAATGGGTTAATCCATTGATAAAGCTAACGGCTTCCTATGCTTATCACCCCTGATAGTGCCATGAGCTGAGGACTAAGTCTTCACCTATGTACTGGGTGGGGGCACTTCCTATCCAAACCACAAGCCCATCTGAAGTGACACCCTCACCAATGAGGGTCACAGCCAGAGCCGGGTGACAAGATCCAAGGCCCCCGAACAGCCAACAGCTGCCGCTGCCTTCCTTCCTGCGTCTGTCTGGGCTTCAGTCTGGCCCTTTTTGGGTGGGAAAGCAAAGTGTACCAGGAGGATCTTCACCTGACTGTGGAAAGGGCCTTAGGCCCTCTCTCCAAACGACTCTCATGTGTCACTGGGTTTGCTGAGCACCTACTGTGCGCCAAGATGGAAACCTGGAGATGAAGCTGTCAGAGGTGGCCCCTCTCTTCCCAGAGAGCTTGCTTGGTTCAGGGAAGGTGGGTTTGAGAGGGCCAGATAAAACCTAGACTGGAGGCAGCCTAACTGTTAATTGTGCATTGTTATTTGTGGTTTATTTGCTTGGGGCTTTTTGCGTGCTTACCTCAACCTTCCTCAGAAGATAACTGGGAGACACCAAATACTCTTTAGATACTTTCCAGGATGGCGGCTGAGTCTCAAGAGTCAAACCTTAACTGCTAGCTGGTTCCATGGCCCCCTGGCGGGCCCAGCTGATGCTTTTCCACGATTTAGCTGGAAAACAGGTAAGAGCGGAGGCGCAGGGGTGCGGACTCGCAGACAAGGATGCCAACCAGCAGGCCAGCTTTGTGGCTCAGCAGCTGGACGGCCTGGGAAAGGTCACAGACCCTCTCTCCACCACATTCCCTACCTGTGAAATGAGAGCTACAGGGCTTGCTTTGTGCAGTGGCCTGTGAGAAAGCAGTCACCCAGCAGGCAAGGCCTAGAGGTGCGTGCTCACCATGCCGCCTACACAGAGGCCAGAGAGTACCAGCTCTTGTGAAGCCAGCCAGTTATTCCGTCAAGATCGGTGCTTGAGCCAGAGGCTGCCTCACTAGGCATGAATGAACCAGTCTCCCACCCACTCCCTGCTGAGGCCTGAGGGGAAGGCAGGAAGAGAGGCCACCCCTCAATGCCCCAGTGCTAAGCCTCGTGGCCTAAAGTGATCCTCGAGGCGCCCTATGACAGGGACTCAGAACACCCACTGGGGTCTCTTCTGAGCACATCGCTCGCGGGTTGCCCTGTTTTGAATCTTCTCCTAGCCTCTGAGTGGCTTGTGTCACCGCGGCTGGCAGTTGATGAAGATGTCATTCACTCCGTTCTCCTCACCTCCAAGTTCAGAATGTCAGAACATCGCGACGAGCTTCAAGTCCTTGTTTGGTTCCTCATATCAATGCCACCCCTGCCTGGGGGGCGGGATCTGCTGCACATCCCTCCGTGGGTGCTGCCTGGAAGTCAGCACCTGGTGAGGTCACCCGAGGAGAGGCTGGGATGGAGTGGGTCAGGGTGCACACATCTGGCCACAGGAACTATTCGTACTGAGCAACAGGCTTCAGAAGTCTAGGGTCATGGTCCTCTACTCATGACAGGTGGTTAGCTAGGTCTGTGACCTCATCAAACCCCACTTGACACTATTCAAAATAATTAAGCCATGAAGTCATTGCACTTCCCAGTGTCCTAACAGGCGGCAAATGTTGGCTCCCATGACTGAACACCTACTGTGTGCTGAGCCTTGGCAGGAACAACATCCTGGGTGTATGTGGGGGAGAGAACAGACCCACAGGCCTGAGTGTTTCTAACAATCACCATGTTTTTACCTAGAATGTTCTAGAATTTTAGCAGATGTTCACCAAGCCTGTCTCAGGGGTGGGGATTTGGTTTAGAGAAAACCCAGGTTGAGGGTACACCTGTAATCCTACTCCCTGGGAGGTGAGGGCAGATGGGCTGTTGAGACCCTGTCTCAAAGCTAGCTAGATGTCTCAAAATTTAATAGTTAATTAATTAGAGGAGCTCTCCACCCCTTCTCTTGAGCTCACAGGAAGGACCCATAACTGTCTTCCACTCCATGGGGTGCCTTCTTGCTCACTTACATTGTGAAAGGGCAGTCTGAGGCCAGGCATAGTGGCACACGCCTTTAATCCCAGCACTCGGGAGGCGGAGGCAGGAGGTGAGTTCAAGGCCAGCCTGGTGTACATGGCGAGTTCCAGGAGGAAGGAGTACCTGCTCACATTCGCGGAGACATTCCTGGCGATGGGACAGTAGCTGGGTGCCAGCCGGGCCTCTTGAGCCTGGGCCTGGGAGCTGCTCCCTCTAGCCAGCAGGCGGCGCTCGTCAGACCCCTCGGTTCACCGGTCCCAGTTCCGTTAGGATCCAGGTGGTTGGGTTTTCAGAAGCCTGGCTCCTAGAACGAGGCTATGACCTGCAACTTGTTATCAGTCTCTTCTCAACGTCACACTGTGTATCCCCCCGGACCCCGGTACTGGCCACCCCAGCCAGGCACACGGTAAGTGATCACTTTAATCCCAGTCCAACTGGAAGGGGCAGCTGTCCTGGGAGGACCCAGAGGGAAGTTCTGGCTCTTCCCCCCCCCCCCCCACTCACCTTTGACACCCTCTACAGAGCAGTTCCTGCTGTCAGCTAAGGATACAAGGAGAAGAAAGGAAGAGAGAAGACGTCCCTGTCCTGGGGGCCCTTCTTCTGGTGGGACTTTCTTGTGGCCAGAGCATGTGACTTGAGCTGAATCGTTTTTGTTTTGTTTGGTGGTTATGGTGGGTGCTCTTTGGAGACCTCCCTTCCAGGGCAGTGCCTCCTCTGATTGGTCCTTGGATACTGCTTGAGGAACAATGCTAAAGAGTCCCGGGATTCACCCAGTGCCTAGCCCCCAATGCCTAGCCCTGGTACAAAGCTCCCTTAGAGAGCCCATCTCTCCATCATCTCCTTAGCTAGCCCCAGGAAAACCTGTGGATAATCTGCACCCTGTCCAGCATGTTTTCTGAGCTATTTGGCTTGCTGGCTTTTCCAAACCTCACCCAACCCCTTATTTTTGAGCCTGCTATATCCAGGACACCCCGCTCAGCAGAGGTCTGCAGGAAGCCCCTTCACTCAGAGAGGGAGGGTTCTCAAGTGCACCCAGGTCACAGTGGGAGCCTGTCTGTCCTCCAGCTGTTCTGGGACTTCGTCTGTCTCTACGCTGGACTTCCAAGATTAATCCTTAACCACTTCCGTCAGGATAACAGCTTAAGATGGTCTTTGTGCATTGTTTTTAGAATGTGGTCCAGTTAGCAGCCCCAGTGGAGATGGAATCAGAAAAGCTGTATCAAAACAAAACAAAACAAAAACAAAAAACATTCCATCTTCAGGCTTAAAGAAATGTCACAAAAATTACACCTCCTGGGGCTGGAGAGATGGTTAAGAGCACTGACTGCTCTTCCAGAGGTCCTGAGTTCAATTCCCAGCAACCACATGGTGGCTCACAACTACCTGTAATGAGATCTGGTGCCCTCTTCTGGCCAGCAGGGACACATGCAGGCAGAACCTTTAAAAAATTACACCCCCTAAAAACCCCCTAAATGTCAATTCATTACCTTTGTCTATCATCTCCCTTCCCTCCCTCCCTCCCCCTCCTTCCCTCCCTCCCTCCCTCCCTCTTTCTGCCTTTTCTTGCTTCCTAAACTGTTTTTTGAATAAACTGCAGTCAATGGCTTCTTCCTCCTAAACTCAGCAAAGGTTTCTGACAGCAGGGCATTCCCTCGTAACCACAGTATAGGATCAGTATAAGATCCAGAGGATGTGAGAGTGGTGCTGAGCCTAATACACTACTGGAACCTGTCTACAGACTTCCACCTAACATCCTTCCTTAACTAAATAAAATACATGCAACGAAAAAAAAAAAAAAAAGATTGGCATCCAAGACACCTTGTACTTGGCTGGCCAGCTCCCTGCCCCGGCTCCTGCCCTCTCCCTACTCTGTAGCCCAGACTGTCCTGGAACTCAAGGTCCTCTTGCCTCGGCCTTCTGGATGCTGGAATTTCAGGTCTTCACCACCTCACCAGCCTCTCTGCTCTCTGTCAGTCTGCAGCAGTTTCTCTGCCTTCTGTTTTTGAAGGGTGGAGGTGATCTGCACACCCCACCCCACCCTGTGGCTCTGCCTGGTCCTCTGTCACAGCGAGGTTTGCTGTGTGTGTTGTTGGCTGGAGCCTGGCAGAGCAGCGCTGAGTTCTTCCGGGCACCCCATCTCGGAGAGGTAGAAAGCTGTGTAGTCACGAATGAATCATCCGTTGAGGAGACAGGGGAGGACATGTTGATTCCCTTCTCCTCCAGCTAATTTGTCTCATCATGAATTTCACGATTCACTGATTATTCTTGCGTGGAATAATCACTTGTGGTGACGGCCAAGCTCTGACTTGGTAATCCCATTACTGCTTCTGTGTTCACTGGTGTCTGTCTTCCGGACAGCCTCCCTCTGCTTCCTTAATTAATATCAATAAGGACTACTAGAGTCTTTATTCTATGGGTTAAAATATGTTACTATGCTGTTATTTTTATACCCACACTAGCTAGGATCTGATTAATGAAACCTCTTCATGGGTTCTGTATTTTTTTTTTTAATTTTTGGAAATGTATCTCGTTGGTAGAGTGCTCACCTAGTGTACATGAAGCCCTGGGTTCCATCTCAAGTACAGCATAAACCAGGTGTGGTGCATGACTGTAATCCTAGCATTTGGGAGGGAGAGGCAGGAGGACCAGAAGCTCAAAGTCATCCTCAGCTGTATTGAGAGTTTGAGGACAGCTAGTGAGACCCTCTCTAGTGAACAAACACACAAAAAGAAAGGAAAGAAAGCTGTGCTGTGGTGACATACAATTTTTTTTTAAAGATTTATTTATTTATTATGTATACAGTGTTCTGCCTACATGTATGCCTACAGGCCAGAAGAGGGCACCAGATCTCATTACAGATGGTTGTGAGCCACCATGTGGTTGCTGGGAATTGAACTCAGGACCTCTGGAAGAGCAGTCAGTGCTCTTAACCTCTGAGCCATCTCTCCAGCCCAACATACAATTTTAATCCCAGCACTTAGAAGGCAGAGGCAGGTAGATATCTGTGAGTTCAAGGCCAGCCTGGTCCACAAATTGAGTAGTTCCAGGACAGCCAGGACTGTTACACAGAGAAATCCTGTCTTGAAAAACCAAAACAAAGCCGGGCGGTGGTGGCGCACGCCTTTAATCCCAGCACTCGGGAGGCAGAGCCAGGCGGATCTCTGTGAGTTCGAGGCCAGCCTGGGCTACCAAGTGAGTTCCAGGAGAGGCGCAAAGCTACACAGAGAAACCCTGTCTCGAAAAACCAAAAAAAAAAAAAAAAGAAAAACCAAAACAAAAACAAAAAAAGGAAATTACTAAGTAAACTAATATTTAATCTTTGAAAAATTGTAGTAAAATACACAAAACGTGATACTAGATGACTAAGGAGATTTTAAGGCCAACGTTCAGTAGTGTGACGTCATACCTCTGACTCCATCCCCACCACAATC